GGAGTTTAGACTGTAGCTTTTATACACCTTATGCCCGTGTACTTGTAATGATTGGGCGGAAACGGCCGAAGAACGAAACCAAACAAGCATCCTTCAAACATTGGCGCTGTAAGCTCAGACATGTTTTTTCATGTGCAATTTCAAGCTGTAGTTCTCCTCCGCTGTTCACTTCTTACCGCCAACGAACCTCCAAGTACAGCCCCACACTTCTAGAAAGTGCAAAAACACTTGTACATCCCGCATGAACTTCTGAATACATGCCTAGTGTACCCCTGTCTACATTTCATAAACCCCAACAGAACCTTAAAGTGTCTGCGAACCTATCTTGTGCATACATTTATACAATATGTAAAGATAGACCGACAGATAGATAGATAGATAGATAGATAGCTTATATATATATATATGCATAGAAGCCACAAAGTGCGTGTAACGGGCTTGGGCGGCAAGTATATGCTACATGTATATGATCCTTCGAAATGACCTCTTAATTGGGCAGTTGACCCTTATCAGCCCTAGCCAAGGTACCTGCCCAGAAGCTCCTAGGTAGTTCCTGTTTAGGTAGTATAATGTACCTCTCACCAGAAACCAGAACACACCCAAGAAGGAAGAAGAACAAAACAAGACCCTTCTGTGGGGCCCCTGGGGGCAGCCTGGACCCTAAACCCTACCAGCCTTAAACCCTAAATCATAAGCCCTAAACCATGAAGCCTAACTCCTAAACCCTAGACCCTAAACCGGAAATCCTTGAATCTAAACCCTGAATCCGAAATCATAAGCTCTAAACTCTACACCTCCAAAAGTCTGAGGCGGCTTCGGGCAGTCTGCGAACCAAGCAGGTAGAGAGCCTTATTGACGACAAGGAGGTGGCCAAGGGTGTGGGGTTTAGGGTTTGGAATTCAGGGCCCAAGGTTTGGGGTTTAGCGCTTGGAGCCTATTGTTTCGGGTTTGAGTATTGGGTTCAGAGTTGATTTTGAAGCTCGGAGCTTGTTTTTTGCTTCTAGGGTTCGGGGTGTTGGGTTTGGAGATTGTTATTTAGAGTTCGGGGGTTCGCATTAAGGGTCTCGGTTACAGAGGTATAGCCAATCCTAGGTCTAATCTTTTCTCTAGATAAAAGAGCTACCCGCCGCCCACCCTTTTCCAGCGCCCGACTGTAATATTGTGAGAGAAAATTCAATACTGGAGAGGAGGTCCTCACTATGTGTGATGATTACCAAGCTAGGCGGACAAAGGGCAGAGTGGTCTGGAGCTTCAGGTTTGGGGCTTCGAGATTAGGGTTTAGGCTACAACCTTAAATCCTAAACCCCATACCCTATCAAGGTTAAGTATCAGGGCAAGCAGGCCTCATACTCCCTAAGGGTCCCTAGCAATCCATCTTGCTGTCTGCTGCCTGCAGTGTTTGCTTTCCTCCAAGAGACTCCACCAATCCCCGCCCCGAGACTTAACTCATCTCCCAACCCATCGTGAGTAGTATTTTCTTCGGGGATACTATGGTACCCAATGTAGAGTAAGATCATATCCATTTGGGGTATAGTATTTTATATATGGAATATAATCTTGCTAGGTTCAACCACCAAAAAAACACTACTCTCGTGAGAAACCTGTCAAGATCTACCCGGTAGTACCCTTTTCTTCTTAGATGGTTTTGGGATCTCCCTATTAAAGCTGAACATTGAAGATTAGGAAGAAGGCCTTATTATTGAGGGATGACTGCGGAACCTAAAAATCTTCCTGCAACCTTAAATTATCTTACCCTACACTTTACACTGCGCCCCCCCCATTACCCCATGCCTAAATACACTGCATGTATTTCTTTGGTGTATATTCTTGGGGGGGGGGGGGGCGCGGGTTAACGGGGGACAGCATCGGGCTTCCTAATAGCAGCAATGAGTGCCAAATCTGAATATTGAAATGCGAGAAGACATAACCGCAATGTAGTGGGAAAAGAATTGAATCAGAGAAACAAGAATACTGTCAATACTCCTTTTTCAGTGATAGTTATCTTGTATAGCTAATTTTAATGAAAGTACCAATCGTCACAGTATAAGGTTTCAAGATGCAAGCTTCTCAGGGACCAGTACCCAATTAATGGGCATTGAGGCCCCAAATACCCTAATCTGGATGGTTTTGGTACCTAAAGCCACGTCCAAAAACCCCAACCCCAAAACCGTCTCGTAGTACTTAAGTACTTAGCACTTAGGGGCTTCAATCTTGAACGCAAACTGCCGGCGCAAGGCCTAGGACTGTCAAGACTCAGCTCGCCAAACTTAGGATTCAGGGTTTAGGGTAAGATCGGGTTTGGGGTTTGAGGTCTAGGGCTAGGGCCCGAGTTTGGGGTTTAGGGTTTAGGACCCGAACTTCCTAGATCTAGACGATCCCAAGCACCGCCTACAGAACCCAAACACGTGCAACTAGCACCGGGAGAGCCTATTGGAGGGTAGTCTGGGGTCCTTCAGCAAGCCCCAGGCCGTTAACCCTGAACAGCTGCCGCCAAACACCCCGCAATCCCTGGACCAACATCTTTAGTCTATGGCCACAACCCCTAAACTGCCGCTTGTTCAGTTGCTCCGCACACAGTGTGAGCTGCTCTACCACCGCCAGTGCTCTCGCGGGCGGCGGTAGTATTATGAGTAGATTCCGGATGCGGTTATATGAGCTCCTTAGAGTGGGCTTCACATGGGGAATTATATAAGGGACTATTGTAGGGATTATTGAGGGGGATGCTAGCAGTGTAGACTATAGCTCACATGGGCTTCAGGATTATAATGTGCAGTTGGGTTTTCTGAAAAGAGGCTCCAGAAGCCGCGGGGAGGATCTCGCTTATTCCCTGGTTGTGTACTTCCTTGATCCCACGCGCGTCCAAATAACTTGCGAACCTCTCCTTCGCACGGAGGTTATGGAAGAATAGGTGCGAGTTTGAAGGGCATGTAAAGCGCTGACTTAGGGTTCATGTGCCCCGCGCTTCGTGCCCTTTGCGGGCGGTAAAACGTGCAATTTCTAGCTGCAGCTAGCCATGTTCAGAACAGGAAGAGCACTTGCGGTTACTCAGCGTAAACTGGAGACAAGATGTCAAACACAGCTCTGCATACTGTAACAGGTTTTGCGTGCAGATTGAAGGAAGGTACTGTAGTTTTCAGGCTCGTACTTGCAGGAATGAAAGGATTCTACAGGCTGTGCCGTTTCAGCGGCAGGTTTAGCGTTTAGGGTTTCAACATCTGGTCAGGAACGTGTGCATCTGGAACTCGGTTGGTAAAAGCCGAGTTTTGGCCAGGTGACATCCTGTGGTCCCCAACTACTTCTCAGATGGCACTAGAGTTTCGTAATATACCCTCGTAGGTCTGGAATATCCAGCGTATCAGGGTCTTTCCCAGGCGTGCTTTGTATGTCACCCCGTTCACGTCCCTAAGTACCTCAACAGCATTTTACATCCTATTTAGGTACAAAGCCTGAGGGGTTAAAGCACAAATGGCATCCTTTGGAAGTTAGGAAGAGTTCCTCCATCTTGTTCATAGGGAATAGTGGGAGTGATGCCGCTACTATACAATTTCCTTCCAAAGTGTTAGTCTCGGATTATCAATTCCATTGCATGAGCCCTAAACCCACAACCCCAAACCATAATAATAGTCTATACATACAACAACCGGCGAGCCGTAGGTACCTTTGCTACCTTCTAAACCTGCAGGAGGATGGCGGATGGCAGACGCGATTTAGGGGTGAGGGCTTGGCTCCAAGGGTCCAAGTACTCAAAGCGAGATAATGTTGTGTAAAGAAACTGGGGCCGAAATTGAACACAATTTGGGTTTTTGCACTCTTCAGGGTAAGGTTTACGTGCGTGTTCAGGCATTCTGGCGCAGAGGTTCGGGTTCAGGATTTGCTCAGAAGGTTCGTGGGTATTTTCAGCAGCGTTGTAACTACCACTAATCAGCATATAGCAGCTAATTTATACGCTTCAGTGAGAACCACCCAGTAGAAGGGCAAAGACTTCGAGAGATTTGCTTATTTGTTGCTTATGTTCAGACAGTGTCTGGGATTTGTAGCATAAACATACAGGTCATTCAAGAGAATTAGCAGCAAGCAGAAACACTAAAGGCAAACGCCATGCCCGCACAACAGAATCAACGAACAACACGCAGCGAAACAAACACAAACTATCGTAGAGCGACCCGTAATTCCCCGCAAGTTCAAGGCCCTGTTTCGGTGCTCATAAGCTTGAACAACGCCCAAACTCCCAAACTGCTGCGGAGAGGACGTGTCCTTGAGCTTGGAGAAGCTGCGGAAGGGCCAAGCTCAACTGTGCGAGGACCGCATGAAGAATGCACACGTGACTCCTTCAAAGATCTATCCACATGTGCGTATGTACATATATATATATACAGATATACACAAATATGCATACACATGAAGGTGCATATAAGAGTCTGCATACTTATATGTAGCCCGCTCTTCTGTTTACAAGGCCTCTCCGGCTCCATGTCAGTTTAGGAGAGGCACCTTCATCACACAGGTGCATGGTACCCATGGGTTTAGAAATGTTGGGTGCGCCAGGCGAACATTGTTTGTTGCATCTGCGTGTGAGGCAATCCTTCACACTCAAGTGAGGCATCCAGCGGGTCCCAAGGGTGTGAAGCTGTGCGCGCACGACAGCCGTTTTGGTCCATCGTCGGGTTCATTGAAGGGCTATCC